AATCGGCTCCAACATCTTTTGGATCTCGCCAGGGACGCGCTGTGTGTATGACACGAGTGGCGGCGCAAAGACCGTCCCTTGCCGGGAGCGTGGGTTTGGAGACATAATGAGACAACAATGGTGCAAAGGAACATCTTCTTAAGCAGAGGCAATTATGTCACCCAATCATGGTTTTTTCCGCGATGATGCCCCGTGCATTGTGTTATCGCACAATTCTTAGTGTTTCGATTTGACTTGGATCCATGTATAGTACATACATGTTGTTACCATGAACCGCCTACAGTCCCAGCACAAGCCAATTGGCACAGTGGCTTGTTTACTCTCTCGATGGCTTTGCTGCTCAGAATGTTCTTACTGAGCAGCAAAGCCAAAGGCTGCAACAAATCATTTATGCGCACTTGTTGGAAAGACAACAATCATAGGTTGGAAAAACAACATGCAATTGAGAGTTGTGGCCAGAAACGCATTACAATCAAGCCCAGAGAGTGGTTGTGCGCAACCTTCTAGACACCAACATTAGACACTGCCACATCAAAGCTACTTAAACGCGAGCTTCCGCTTGGTTGGCTGCTGCTTGTGCCCGAACCTTGACACGTCGCTGTGCTGCTGCACATACCTCATCCGAGCGACAAAGCTCGTCCCACTAACCCCTGCCATGGGAGCTGCAAACCCGATATCTGCAAAGTATCCTGCTTCAACAATGTTCTGCCTTTCCTCCTGAGTGAACGAGCTCCTCAAGCATACAAACTTCTTCGTCTCCATCTCCAACACTACCCGCAACTCGAGGAATTTGTTGTGCAGGGCGAAGGGGATCTGGTAACCTTTGGGGCCGCTGGAAGTGACGAACGTGGCGTGCCGGACAGGTCTGTTCCGGGTGATGGACGCTGACAGTTTAAGGAGCCCCCCGATGTGGACGCGAAATTTCGCCAGCTCTGGCTCAGCGGCGTGGTTTTCGAGGGCTTTGAGCAGTTGGGGCCCCTTCGCCCCAAGTTCCTCAAGGACCAAGTCGAGGTCCACCGTATAGGGGGGATCGGTGCACATGGTGAAGGGCCGGGCGTCTGGGAACTCCTGCTCGAAAAACTCCTTGAGTGTCAGATCCTGCTGCTGCAACCAGGGCGCCAGTGGCCGATCGCCCACATCCACTTTCACCGGTTCCTCGGCCTCCTCCCCCTCGTCGCTCGAGGCGCTCCCGTCTCTTTCGTCCTCCACCGGCGGCCCTCCACCAACAGCTCGGGCTTCCGGGAGGACAGGGCTCGTGACCGGGTCTCGGAAGTACTTCACCCTGTCCCTCCATGTGTGCTTCTTCGTACTCTTCAGGAGGGTGTAGTTTTGGGGAGGGTCGACGAAAGTGCCGTCAGCCTTGCGGGGGAGGGGGACGCGAAGAGGTGTTGCCCTCGTCGTGACCGTGGTCTGCAAGTGGATAGCATTGGGTGAGTTGTGTATTTCACCAGCCCGAAATAGTAGCTGTTGCCACAACTATCCATGCATCGGCCCTGGAATGCAAGGGTTCAGTTGCATTCTACTGACCTCGTCGAGCCTCGTAAAGGCTGGAGTCTGGAGATAGTTGGGCTGGCGTTCGTAGTCCTCCGTCCACTGCTTCCCCAGCTTGTAAGCATTGATCATCTCCCAGAGCTCGGGGCTGCACAACACGGGGATGCGCCTCCTATCCGGCCAATGGCCGCAGGCTCGAGAGAGGATCTGAATAGCCCTGTTGAGATCAATCTGAGTGCTCGAGCACAGTGTCTCGTGAGGCGAGAGCTGCACCATGATCGCGGTTGGGTGAGTGACGTCACCTGCACAATAAACACAGAGAGTGAGCTTGGGTAGATCTGTGCAACAGTCTTATCGAACGTTGGAAATCAACACGATGACACGATGACCCAGTAGTCGCACACTCTGTTGACTTCCTCACCGTTGTCATCCCTGGCGACATAGCTGTTGACCCGATCCACGTGGTTGACTGAACACTCGATAGCCATGTGTGTGTCGAACGTCAGCAGCATCTTGATCAGGTCCTCTGGCAACACCCGTCCCAGCTCCATGTGGCCATCCGCCCCGGGTTTTTCGTAGAGCGCATTCCCCGCATGGTATGTGCCGGCTGCTAACCGAACCCCAAGGACGCCCTCAACCCACGTTTTCCTGGAGGAGACAAGTGACAAGCTTGTGAAGGGTTGACACCTCTCGTATGCCATGGGAAGCCACATCGTGTTAGATGGGATGGCCATTTTGACAATCTCTTTCAGACACCAATGGAGCGTTCGCACCTGATGTGACTCCTTGTCACAATGTTCTCCTCGCCCAGGGAGTGTTCTTTGATGCTCGTGCTGACGAAGCTGAGGTACAGCGCCTTCCCCGCGCCTCCTTCGCCCAACTTCAGTGCAGCCAGGAACCGTTTCTCATCGTCGTTCAGGGGGCCATTCAGGTCCTTCTTGCGAATCGGGGTTGTCAAGGTGATGACCCCAGCATCGTCGCTGAGACGCTCGAGTTGCTCGAGGCCCCGGTACAAGCTGCCCGCTCGAGCTATGACCACGTTGTCAACGGGGACGTCTTTCTTCTCAGAACGCATGCAGCGCAGCGGTGTAGCAGTGATGGAGACGCTGAGGATGGGGGCAGGGTGAAGGCTGGTCACGAACTCTTGGGCAGCCTCGCTGGTGTAGCTGGTTTGCCCCGCGTCGAGCTGAGCATCAGCTTCGTCGGTCAGAAGGATGTACCTGCATGATTGCGACCAGTCTTTTTGGGGTGCTTGACAGGAGATCCTTTTCTAACCATGTTGCAGCAAGGGAAACCTAGAGTGGAGCACAGGATTTGGGTTTGACTGTCCACAAGCGGCTTCAGGTGAGTCATAACCAAGGCTTTTACTCTATGCTGAGTCTCACAATCAAAGGACTCACCTCCTGTTGGCCTTGGATATGACTCTCTTCAGGGCTGTCACCTGTGACCCGTTGAGGAGTGCCCCAATCATCCCGAAGCCCTTTATCGTGTTGACCAAGGACAGGTCATCGACTGCTCTTGACCCTCCCGAGTCGACGACAGACCGAACGAGCGCGACCCCATGGTAGAGCTCCTCAACAGCCCCATAATGCACACACTGCCGCAGCCTGTATCGCAGCTGCTTCTCCACAAAGTCCTTGGACTGGTTGAGAGTGCGGTAGAGTCCAACGACTGTCGCAACCTTACAGGTGCCTGCTATGTAGGTGATCTCCCCTGTCAGGAGGGATTTCCCTATTTGGCAAGCGGCTGTCAGGATCGCTTCTACTGTGTCCAAGGACGTCTTGCAGAGGCAGGCATCGAAGAACTTCCAGTAGTCGGCAGCTTGCAGGTAGACGATGTCGTGGAACTCCTGGAACCTGCAAATGTCAGGCAGATGATTAGGAGTTTGTTCACTAACCTTCAACATTGAGGGGCAGCACAAGCCTTGCATGTTTGCATGGGTGGATGGAGCTGCTAAGCATTACATTTGCTGTTAGAGCTTCAGATGTGAGATGATGACCAACCTGAATATGCCGCTGATGTCTTTCCAGCGTCCACTGGGGTCATAGCTCCGGAGCCCTTCCTGTACCTCATACGAGAGCCCAAACCAGCCTGAGCCGACCATGATGGCTGGCATGCTCCACAACACACCCTGTCCGCCAAAGTCGGTTGCCATTGCTTCCAAGAACGGAAGCTGATGAGCGTCAGGGCCCATGAGTGCTGAAGCTCTCTCCTCGACATATGGAAGAGGTAGGGACAGGAAGAAGCACTGGATGCCAAGAACACACTCCTCAATGATCCTGTCCGACCAGCCATCACTCTTGAGCTGCTCGCCAAGCCAGTGGCACAGCGCAGCCTCAGAAGACCTGAGGTCTCGGTCATGCTGGACGAACGGCTTCCCGCACCTGCACGGAGGGCGCTGGCTTGCTCAGGCATTTGAGCTTTGCACTTCATGGCAAGAGGTTTAAAAAGGGTGATTGAAAGTCAACAGAAGATCAATGAGGATCATCTGCAGGCGCTGGTAGCGTTTCTGATGTCAATAACCGTTACCGCTACCGTTACCGCTACCGTTACCACTAGCGAGATCTACCATTACCGGTCAGATTCCGAGTTAAGCGGCCTAATCATGTTGCTTACGTCAAACAGACGCAAGCATTTGCCATGAGGTACGGACCAAATCATATGGTAGGGATCCTATTACCTGACAGTGGTCTGGTTCTTGATCAGCACAACTTCACAGTCGGGGGCAATGCCAATCTTCCAGTTCTTGTTGTCCCAGACTATCTCGTCCCACTCATGCCCTCTGACTTGATGGAGCTTGAGAACCCAGCCATACTCCTTGTCTTGGAACCTCAAAGTCATTCACATCCAGACTCCTCCGGAGGCTCTCGTGTTGACTGGCATTCCCGCCAGCGAGCGTCTTGAATACTGTGTCCACGATGTATTTGGCTTTCAGTTTCAGCAAGGCAAGCCGGAGTTCATGCGTAGGCACCTGTGCTTGAGAGCCGCTGCCCGAAGCCCCGTCATCGACAACCAGCGATCCAAAGCTCCGCGAAGAAGCCATTTCGGGTATTCCACGGGCGTCTGCTGGAAGAGTGAGTCAGCGGGGGCTACCCATGCCTCCTTTGTGAGATCAATGTAGGCCATGCGTCTATGGATAATGCCTGTGTGATGCAAGTTGCCCCCATTCTCGACGGATCCGGGAGGATAAGGCCCAATCTGCCGTTGATGTGTTATGCTTTGTCGGATCTTTTGTGACGGGTGACTGGCACAACCAAGTACTTCCAAGACAAGAAGGGAGAGAAGCTCACCAAGTCGCGAGCAATTGAAGACATGGGACAGACCGCGTCCCTTGAGGCAACGGTCGCTCATGCTGAAACCTTTCTTGCTCAGGTCCAAGAGTTGAAAAAGGAACGAGATGCTGCGCAGGCGCGGTGCCAAGGTGCTGAAGACGAACTTGCTGCTGAGCAACAAAAGTTGGTGGTGCTGAACAGCATCAGCGTAGCCCGGAAGAGGAAAGCTCGTGAGGAGAAAAGTGACTTTGAGGCAAAGATTGCTCGGCTGGAGGAGGAACTACTTGCTAAGAACATCAGGATACAGGAGTTGACCAAGACAACAAGCCCCAACGTGAATGTTGGGCCACGTGTTGACAAACATGTGACATTTCAGGTGGATTCAGGACCTGAGGACTCTGATGATGACAGGCCCTTATGCATCAGACGGGCTCGTCAGGTAAGGGAACACGATGAGCATTCGTGATCCTTCCTTGAGTGCTAAGCTTACATGTGAAGGCCAGCAGATGAGTGATCTTCCACGTTTGTGAATTCTCACCTGTTGTTGCATGTTGCAGGGAAGCGAACGTGGCAAGGAGATAACCTGGATACCGGACTGCGACAAAACAGGGGACTTTCAAGTGAAGGGGCTGGAGGCGGGCGCTACAACAGTTGTCACTCCCTTGATGAGTCATGTGAAGGTGCGGTCACATCTCATGACCATCCCTTCTTGCACGCTGCTAAAAGTGGGGAGTATGCAGACTACGCAGTATCATGACGGACAGGTTCAAACCTTGACATATGTGTGTACAGGAGGTTGAGGCGCTCTCGCCCCTGGAACGACTGGTGGCAGCAAAGTGCTACCTGATGAAGGTCCTACGGCTGAGGTGTACAAGCTGTGAAGAGCAGATTGATTTTGCCATGGAAGGGTCCAACGTAGTGCTCCCGTGTATGTGCCGTTCCACCAAGGCTCAACCGGTCTACCTTGGCGTGTTCTTCAGAGGGGATAGGTACAAGCTTGTTCTTACCAGTGTAGCGAAGCAGCGGAGTATCTCTGACTTTGTTAGCAAGGCCCTTGCCAAGATTGTTCAGAATCACTCAGCAGAGCTTTGACATGTGTATCAGGTCCGTACATGTAAGATGGGGGGGCCACTCCAGAGAGGTTGGAGAGGAGGGAGGGGTGGTAGACGGGTCAAATGGAGCAGAAGGGGTGTACCTTACTTCGACAAACAATAATAAAATCTGTTTAGATGCTATCCGAGGATGCCTAACCTCCCTGCTCCAATACGTGTGTGGCCAAACAGGGATGATCCACATTGGTTGCCATGGACACCAGCGACGTATGATCGTTATTTGACTCAAAGCTGGTATACGTCACACAACCTTTCAAAACTGATGTTATGCGTGGCTGCTCAAGACATCCAAAGTACTGGGAGTCGCATCCAAGATTGGACCATGTGGGATCCAGCCGCTGGCAGCGGACGCTTGTATGCCCAATTCCCAAGCAAGGACCGCTATGCCTCTGATTTGAGAGGAACCAACTTCGAATTCATGCCAGACTCACACTTCTTTTCAGGAGGGGACTTCCTCGAACATGTCATTCCAACTCTGACCAAGCGCAAGCAAATCTACATGATTGCAAATCCTCCCTATGGAGATCTCACGCATCAGTTCATAAACAGAGCATTTGATGGCACATATCCAATCAAACGCGCATTGTTTCTGGTAAGTGCTCAATCGAAACTTCCCCGTTATTTAAGCATGATTGACTATTCCCGGTGTGTGCTCGTTCAGCGGAGCAAGACGTTCAAGGCAGACTTTGAAATCATGCTTGAACCCCGTCAAGGAGGGCCACCGATATACCGTACACAAAGGTACCCTGTGCAATTACTGATGTTCTACTCTATTGAAGAGTTTGAGAACGTACTGAAAACGGCTGCCAAAGGGCACCTATGCACGCCTATCATACAAAAGGGCCCATGTAACGGTGGAGCTTCGTTCACAGATGCTGTTCGACTCGATCCAGCAACACCACTGTGCAAAGGGCGAGCAAGAAACTCTTCAGCCAACCAGAGCAATTCCGCTTCCCCCCGATATGCTACTCGCTCCCGGAAACGTTTGCGGGTGAAATAGTGGTTGCGGTCGCGTTCCTTGGGCGGTCTTTTTGGCAGCCCAATGTAAAATGCTAACTGTAAGCGCCCCATGCCTCATTTTAATTCTTGTCTTGTTCGCGTCCCCTCTTGTGATGTGTGACGTCTATTCGGATGCTCTCTCCAAAGGCCTCCTCTTCTTCGAGGCTCAACGGAGTGGTAAGCTACCGGCAGATAACAGGATCCCCTGGCGTGGTGACTCCTGCCTGTCTGACGGCTCGGATGTGGGCCTCGATCTGTCAAGAGCCTACTTTGATTCGGGCGACCACGTGGTCTTTGGCCTACCACTGTCTTTCACGTTAAGCATGATGGCCTTTGGCTTGGTCGAGTATGGGGACCTTTATGGGACCGAGCAGGACCGGGCAGTTGCGGCCCTCAAGTGGGGCACCGATTGGCTCTTGAGAGCACACCATTCCGAGAACGAGCTCTACGTTCAGGTTGGGGACGGGGAAAAGGATCACGCGTGCTGGACGAGACCCGAGGACCTCGACATGGAGAGGTCTACCGAGCTTCAAGGTAGATTCGAACAAGCCCGGCTCTGAAGTGGCGGCAGAGGCAGCGGCTGCGCTCGCTGCAGCATCGATCGTGTTCAGGGAGCGGGATTCTGCTTACCATGATGTCCTCATCTTTCATGCGACCCAGCTCTTCCACTTTGCCGATAAATACCGGGGGAGTTATAGCAACTCTGTCCCGGCTGCAGCAGCATTTTACAAATCGTACTCGGGGTATGGTGATGAGTTGCTGTGGGCTGCTGCGTGGCTTCACAGGGCCACGTCGGACCCAACCTACATTGCCTACATGACTGGGCCCAATTCGAACGATGGCCCCTTGAATTGGAAGGGAACGGCGTCCGAGATCTCTTGGGACGACAAGAGGGCAGCCGCGCAGCTCTTAGCGGCTCGGCTCGTCCTCCTCGGTCAGCAGCCTTCAGGGACGGCTCTAGATCATTACAAGAAGGCCCTCGACGGCTTTGTGTGCTCGTACGTGACAGGGAATACACCAGAGACTGCTGCGGGGCTGCCATGGATCCGAGAGTGGCTGCCTTTGCAATATGTGACCACGAGCGCCTTTGTGATAGCGGTTTACGGTGACCTTTTGCGGCAAGCAAATGCATCGCTCACATGTTCGGGCAGCACGTACACGAGCGACATGCTGCTTGCGTATAGCAAGAAGCAGGCGGACTACATCCTTGGCGCGAATCCGCGGGGCATCTCATATATGGTCGGCTTGGGGGAGTCGTTTCCTCAGAGGGTGCATCATCGTGCAGCATCGATACCAAAGGACGGGGTTCATTACAAATGTGGCGAAGGCTTCAAGTTCTTCCAGACTTCGGATCCCAACCCAAACGTGCTGGAGGGCGCAATCGTGGGCGGCCCCGACCAGGCCGACAACTTTCAAGACGCGAGGACAAACTTTAAGCAGTCTGAGGCTAGCACATACACTAATGCTCCATTCTTGGGGCTTGTGGCCCGTCTGAGCAGCTCGAGAGCTCTGCCTTTGGCAACTCCAGTGCCTACTTCAGCGGGGCAACCGGCCCCGGCAGCTACTCCAGCTGCCACAACCCCTGATGTGGCACCGGGACCTGTCGCTTGTGATTGTGACTGTGAGGGATTTTAGTTGGGTCATCACTTGGAAGGAGTCAACCGTTGTGTTGAGAATACCTCCAAATGAAGCCGGTCTTCTTCCCCCCGGTCTCTGCCGAACTTCGTATGAGGCTGCGTGCAAATCCACTTTCCTGTACAGCCTGTGCAACGGAGCCATATGTCTTGAGAAGGCGCCCTTCAAGATCGTACTGATGGACGATTCTGTTGCAACTTCGGTTCGTTGCCTGCTCCTCTTTAGTGGCCCAGCGCAGGTTGGTGAGAAGGTTGTCCTGGCAGTTACCGTTGATGTGATCCACAGTGTGCTCCGGACTTGGGCGGGGGCCGAGAAAAGTAAATGCTATGATCACGTACACAAAACATTGTTTGGTCTTTGCTCCAATTTGGATGCCAACCTTGTGCCGGCCGTGGTGAATGAAACCGGTCGTACACCTTCCATTCTGCATTTGAACGCGGCCCATGTTGCTGACCCTCACGCCTTTGATGTGTTGTCCATCGTAGAGAGCATCTCTCCACACTTCACCTGACTGGTCTGCCTGTGTGGCCAGGTGATCTGGGCACCGCCGGAATACGTAGCCCTTCAATCCAATGATGGAAGCTCGCCTTATGTGCTTGCCAACCGTTTGATGGTGAAGCCCCAATCTCTTTGCAGCCTCTTTGATTGATTCATATCGTGTCTTTCTGCCACTTGCTAGGTGATGTGCGACCACTGGAAAGCCCACTGTCAATCCCCTCTTCTTGCCCGCTTGAGGGTTGTCTACCCGGGTTTTGCGGTTGTGCTCTTTCCTAGGAAGCTCCTGCAGATTCTTCCAGCTGTCGTCTTGAGGCGGGCGTTTGGAACCGTCTGGCGGAGACACAATGTGATCAATGTCCATACCGGGCCCTATTGGGCGGCCCATGGCAATCTCAAAGTTGAGGCGATGTTTTCGAACCCCTTTTCCATCAATCTCCAGCACCGTGTACCCTTCTTTCCTGTACCCCTTCTGGAAGCACCCAAGTTTGGTGTTCCATACTCGGCCGTCAGGAAGACCATAGATTTGCTTGTACTTGTAGTGTTGCTTCCAGCCTTGAAGATCCCTTGGGGGCGCATTCCGCTCAGTGTGGGTTAGCTGATGACGAGTGAAGCTTTGTTTGAAGCTGAATGACTGCAGACAACCCGGATACTCACAGACAAACCTCTCTTGGTCGTCGACCATGTCAAGCTTGCGCTTGATGCCAATTGTACTGGTCACGGTAGCCATGTCACAAAGGTATGCTTTCTTGACATTCTCGTTAGCCCTAAGTAACCCCACGTCATTTTGGCTAAAGCGGCCAGGTCAGCTTTAAGGCAAAGATTTCCTGTCCTAAGTGGTAGAGATGCATGGAATCGCTGCCCACCATCTGTGGCCTGCTCATGGTGTTGGCTCTGCTGTACATCCTGACTGCGGACAGAGCTCGTGCAGAACACTTTGCGAGTAGACCGCCTCCCGCACCACCTGCCCGGCCGCCTCCCGCACCACCTGCCCGGCCGCCTCCCGCACCACCTGCCCGGCCGCCTCCTGCACCACCTGCGCGGCCGCCTCCTGCCCCACCTGCGCGGCCGCCTCCTGCCCCACCTGCGCGGCCGCCTCCTGCACCACCTGCGCGGCCGCCTCCTGCCCCCACC